AATTTAAAAGAAGAGCTCGTGACCGCAGATGGTAGGTAATGGAGTTCACAGGCAAGACAAAGTGTTAGGTAACCGATCACTGGAGGGAGAAGGGGAAGAAACCAAAACGCCCTTTGTAAGTCTCTATGCCGACCTCAACTTCTAAGTGCATGCAGTTAAGAGAAGGCATAGTTACGAATTTCTACTCGTTGTTATCATTGCTATATCGGCTCATTTATCTTATCACCGCACTCTCACCATTCGGAGTGAAGATAGCATAGTGGTCTTGAAGGTCCTATTGCCCAGTCAGTGGAACAGGTCCTCTCCAACTCCAGCATGCAATAGATACTGTAGTGCGCTGGTCCTCCTATGCCCCCTTTAAATATCAGTAATACCAAAGTCTTTCATTTAGGACAATCTAATCCACGCGCGCAGTACCTAATTGATAGCTTTATCCTAGATACGACAAATCAATAAAGGACTTGGGCTTTCTTGTCGATTCAGAATTGAATTTTGAGGAGCACTTGAAAAATGTAGAGAGTAAGGTGGAACAGAGAGTGTTTTTGCTACTTAGATCATTCAAGTCTCAGGATCCGCGTTGCTCATGAACGCCGATAAAATTTATGTGTGTTCAATTCTCGAGTACGGCACGTGTGTCTACTTTCCGCGTAACAAAGGAATTCATTGACAAATTGGAGAGAATACAGAATGGCTTCACTGGAAACTATTCATCAGAGTCTTGGGATCCATATATGCGAGCATTCCCCGCCCTTAATTTAGATCCTCCTCACTTAAAGGCACAGTTCGCGACCGCAAATTGCGGGAAAGTATCTGAGCTAAAGTGCTAAGTATCTGATTAGCGGAGAAAAGCAGCAGAAAAAGCAGTCCGAAATGTTATAGAGAAAGATAACATAGTGGCTACTAGCTAGTAGCTAGCAGCCGGTGAGGGTCGGCATGGGCCTAAGGGGTGTCCATGGGCCTAATTAGTCAGCTTCTAGCGGAGTTCTTGCCGTTTTTCACATTTTGAAAGTAGCGCAGCCTCAAAAATCGCCTTCCGGATCGTCCGACACATTTGAGAGGTCATAGCCTTATTTTATCGCGGAATGTGCCTTTAAGAATGAGAAGGAACGACATCCTCGTGTTAATAATATTCTAGATAAGCGTGCTGAGTTGCACTCCAACTCCTTCTTTGAAGTTGGTCCCGTCCAGAACTAGAGGAGAACGATTTAAACTTTCATTTCGGCAACCTCGTTCTCTGTTAGGGCGAAAATTCTTTACGTTTCGTGCAGGAACGGAGTATGTAAGGATGAGCAAGAGTATTCCAATACCGGTCACTTTCAACGGATTCAAAAAATCTTTTTTCTGTAGCTGCACAGGGGTTTCGCGTTTTCTAATGGCTCCAGATTTTTATTTTTATTCTTTGTTTGCTCGTTGTTCGTTTCATTATTGGTTGTTGATCAGTTTACATGCTGCAAAACATGTAATAAAGTTGAAAGTTGAAGTAGTGGCTTCTAGCAGCTAGTTGGAGTCGGCATGGGCCTAAGGGGTGCTATGGGCCTAAATGCTCAGCCTCCACTGAAATTCTTGCAATTTTCCACTTTTTTTAGTGTAGTGTGTGTTTTTAGTGCTTAGTGTGTTTTTAGTGTTTTTTTTAATCTACTATTGTCCACTGGATCTTTAAAAAATTTCAGATTGGTTTATCACGTAATGTGTCTTTAAGCTCACCTCCTCGAGAGTTCCTAAGCTCAGGAGTGATGAACTATAAACAAAAAAATAAACAAGTGCATGAACTTTCAGCCGTAACGTTACCTTTTGTATTTCTCTTGAAAAGCTGCTTACACTGCATTTTCTTCAATGAACTGAATATACACTCGAAATCCCTGAGATGAGGTAGGCTGGCTGCATACTTCAACTGAACGCAGCGGTCGTTGTGCTTTTGGCGAGATATTTTCATTTTTGGACAACTGTGGTCTTGTCTTTGTCCAACAGAACAGGATAATAGTTGTCCCAAACGAACAAGATGTTGTCTTGGGCTAAAATATCCCACGAGAAACTCGCCCCTGTGCTATGTACCAGTGCTATGCCTACCCCGTCTCAGGGATCAGGATTATACAATGTCAGCTTGTATTTTAGTGATTTCCTGTTCAAGCTGCTAGTGATTGGTGAGTCGTCAGTAGGCAAGTCGTCGCTTTTACTGCGGTTCACTGAAAACGTCTTCAACCAGTCATATTCCAGTACTATAGGGGTTGATTTTGTGAGTTCTAGAGCTGTTTTCGTTATCAGTGTCATGAATACCTATAATAAGGGATTGTAGAGAGCTCCAAAATCACATTCATCGGACGGTCACTTTGGTATGGGTGCGACATGAGCGAAGATGTGTGATATACAGGGGGGGGGGCAAAAAAAGTCACTTCGACCGAGTCACATATCAGCAAAGTTTTCGCAGCCCAGACAGAGGACGTGGATACGAGTACCAGGGCGGAAGATACCCAAGATGTTCCTCGATAAGCAGGAGCTGGCTCTCGCCCATTTCATGTACACCAAAATATGAAGTCATCTCCAGCCAGTCGCAGCCTGACTGAACGCCTTTGGAATTCACGTCACCTCCAAACAGCTGCGAAACTTCTAGTATGGAGTCACCCATGGATAGCTACCTGGAGACCAGTACTCTTGATCTGGAAGACCTCCAACATCGAGCAGCTCCGACAACGTCGCTACGGTCCAGGACATCATCTTCACCGCAGTCGCCGCGGGTTGGTGGTATGGACCGGAAGTTCCTGGAATGGAAGACCGATATTTTCTTCGTGGACCCCGGACTGAAAGTGAACGCTGACGGTTACATCGACCAACTCGTGGAGAATATCCTGCCTTCATG